TTGTCTGTCTAACTATATATAACTCTGTGTTGTCAAAGATAATGACATTGATGACGATATGTTTTATACGGAGATTTCGGTGTCAGAAACCCACGGTTCGATATGCTGTTGTCGCGGTCCGATCTGTCACAAAATACGCAATATAAATGTGTATGTAAATTCTACATACGTATAGAAAATTACATGACCAGACAGCTACAGTAATACAATAATCTTGTTAAACTTTTTTGACAATGTCAAGGGATCGTTGTAACCTATCTCAATTTAGTTTGACTTATGTTCAACTACTTATCCTAAGTAATTAAATCTTTTTAGTGAATTGAGGCATAAAATGTATACGATTAACCTTTAAGCTACTAAATACTTTTTATCCTGGAAAAAATACAACAAACAAATAGGTTAGCAGTGCATCTATTACCGTAAACAATAGTGATGCGACCTAAATAACGGTTCACTGGTACTCGATATTATAATAATTTCGCGGGACCCGTGCGCGGAGCTGATTGGACGCATGCCGTGTAAACGCGATAAACGCTAAATTATTGTTTACGATGTTGTTAATAGCGGTCTTGTTTGGTTAACGTGCATTATTATCTGTATGTGTGGGTAACTCCGGAATAATGGTTTCGACGCTTAAAAGCTTTCGCGGATAATCGCATTGATTATTTTTCATTATAGCTCCTGCAACGTAAAATATTTGATTTTTATATGTCAAATTACATGTTGTTATTACGATATGAAATTAGCCAGATATTAGTCAATGAACGGACTTTTCATTAAGAAAAATTCTTAAGGCATTCACTAGAGAATATTTAAATGAAAGTAAGTGTGTCTTCTTTTCATTTCTTATTATCTTTACTTAGTTCATATTTACTTAAATTACTATAAAGATGTAATAAATAATCATAACATTACTTCGCTTTGTATAACTTGGTTAGGAACAGTCACGTGGTTTATAACACGAGATGTCTAAAATACAGCATCCTACGGACTTCCAAATCGGATAGTAGTCATTTAGGCGCCGCCAATGTGAAAGGCCCGCGGTGTTACTCGGCGTGACGCCAAATTCAATACTCAATATTACAGTATCCCAACATTCTATAATCAATTGTTATGTGTTATTCTTGTTAAGAAACATTTCAAACACCAGAGCCCACAGATAAAATATGCTATTTTATAAAAAATAACTTATAGCAGTTATTTTATGGCCAATAACGTAACGCATATTTTTATGTTACGTTGTTCACATCACTTTTGAATAGCTTAACTTTTTATGTTCTAGAATGTTCATAGAAATTAAACTTAATAAATGGATTAACTATCCACAATCTTCGTATAAATCATATTGCCATCCCTGTCATTATCTTTTACAAAATAGATATAACAGTATGTTTTAAACGGTACTTACCGTGGATCTCCTATACCAAAATCTTCGGTACTTACCTACTTGATGTTTTTTTCCGATGTTTCGAGATCTTTGTTTTGCAATGATCCGTATATATGTCAACGTTAGTTTGGTAGTATAATAAGTGGGCGACTTCTGAATGTATAAAAAATAATTTAAAAAGCGTCAATAGCCTAATGGTTAAGGATACGGATTTCCGATCAAGGGGTCGGGGGTTCGAATCCCGCCATTCGACTATTGTCGTAAACCATTCCCTAGCACAAGCATAGAGCTTAGTTGGAATGGTAAAAGGAATATTAGTAAATTTCCAAAAAATCTGCTAATGTTTTTCTCAAAAAAAAAATGTATGCAAATGCAATGGAAAAAAACTTATCATTGAATTTATAAAATGTTCGTCTTGTTGTTAGCTCATAATATATGACGAAAGCTTATAGCAATTACGCCCAAGACTAGCATTAGCCAAAGATTAGTAACTATGGTAGATGATGAGTTCTAACATTTTTTATGAAAAAAAAAACTGAGATAAAAAGTGCAGAGTACATATTTTTCGTCAGCGAATTTACACCTTTATTTATATAGGATTGTTATCATGTGAACAAACCCTTATTGGGTACATAGCGTTGCGTATTAACTTTGTAAAGTTATGACATACAGGTTGCGGCGTGATCTATAATAACATGTTATAATTAAACGAAGTTACCACGACTAATGGAAAATGTTTGTCACTAAAACGCTTTGTTATATTCAAAGTAACCTTTAACATTATTCCTGGGTTTAGACACTTCAAGGAAAATACGAAACAAAAGAAAACTTCGTTTAAAGAAGTGATACCCAAAGTTGTCTATGGAGTAGCTGGCAGCGTTGTGCAATGGCGGGAAATAAAAAATAATAAATAAAAAAATAAAGATGAATTGAGAACCTTTTTGAAGTCGATTAAAAATTAAAGATTCAAAAGTTGAAGAAGAAATGTAGCAATAGGAAGTTCCTCATAACAAATATATTTATATATTTTGAAAGTCTACGACCGAAAAAGTCTCGGAAAATCTGGTCTAAAACCTTAATCATTAGGCTATTGATGTTTCAAAATAGACCTTACTAATATCGTAAATGCGAATCAGATGAATGTTTGTTAGAAGGTATCTCCAGAACATCTGCATGGATCTCGCTGAAATTTGGCATAGATGTAGAACATATTCTGGAAGAACATATAAGCTACTTATCAAGTTTTTGTTTAATTCCGCGTGGACAGAGCTGGTAGATACATAAATATTTTAAGCAAGAGCGACATATTTAATGTTATAGTGTTGAATAGATTCGATAGATGGCGACATTAACAACATACGTGCTCAGGAATCCGCAGCCCGTAATATATTAGTCTCAGATTAAAGCTATCAACACGAGTTATGCTGAAATATCTTCCATATTGAATATTACCACATTATACAATTACGTTATTAATTTATCAATGTTCCTTGTTATAAAATAAATAAATCATTACTTAACTTATTAATTAATATCTTAATCTTACTAATATTATAAATGCAAATGTTTGAATTGATGTTTGTTATAAGATATCTCCAGAACGACTGCTTGAATCCCGCTGAAATTTAGCATCAAAAAATTGTCAGAAGACTTGAGCAACCAAATAACTTTTTATTTTATTCAGCGCGGATAAAGTCGCGGGCGAAAGCTAGTAAGGCATTAAAGATAACATACCTATTAAAAGTGTCATTCTATCAACTTGTAACCTCCGAACTCAAATGTTGTGTGGCTTATTTTAATACATATATCTATCCCTTTCATTCTCCTTGACAAAACAAAGACAACAATATGTATTGCATTGGAAGAAACACCAAAGAAACTGGGTACGGTTTCGTAATGTACCGCTCGAGGCGCATTATACCCACGCACAAACATTCAAATGTTTTGTATGTAAGTAATTTAAATATCATATTTGTTCAGTTACGCCTTTATATGAGAGGTATTTCTAAACTTTAAAGTAGGAAAAACGTTTATTTAAACAACTAGCTATCTCGTCTCCGTCCGCGCGGAATTAAAAACAAACTGAGTAGCCAATGTGTTCTTCTACAATACGTTCTGCAAATACCTTCTAACAAACATACACCCGTACATCCAAACATTCGCATTTATAATATACTAGCTTTCGCCAGAGACTCCGTCTGCGCGGAATGAAAAACAAACTTAATTTTTAGCCTATGCGTTCTTCCGAACTATGTTCTACATCTATACGAAATTTTAGCGTCATCCGTTCAGCCGTTCCGGAGATACCTTCAAACAAACATCTATCCATCCATCTAAATATTCGTATGTATAATATAAGTAAGAAGTAAAACTACCTTATATTCGAATCAAGGTCATAATTTAAACTCGATAATGTTAAAATAACTAATACTTACTTGGTGATCTTCACATTTCTCAGCAAATACAGTCGAAGAAAACACTATTTAATGCAAGAAGTCTCGGGAAATAGATGAATTGAAACTATCTGCTTTAATAAATCCATTTTCAACATTAACTTGTGTCTGAATATACGAAATTACACTAACTACCTTTTAAGGTAGCTTCAAAAAACACTACTTTGAATGGCTATCAGATAATTTGACAGTTTTGATATTTTTAATTGATTTTTTTTAAAACTACATTTAAATTTCATTTGAATATAAAAATAAATTATTATTGTTATTTTTAAAATATATCCGCTTTTTTAATATGCTCTGTTTTATATTTTTCCTATTTTCAATTGTTTTTAGTAAATCAATTGATATCCTCATTATTTGTAGTGATGTGCTTTTGAATTGTCGTTTCTATGATGAACGTAAAGGTTGCAAACGGTCATAATATAGTTAGGTAAACTGTGCAAGAACACATTAGCAATCCACATTCTCCTCGCCGCAATTTGCTTAGTTCGCATCATTTCGTCCTTTACCACGGAAATTAGTACTTAACTTACTGTCGAATAATATTATTACGAAAACATTTGAAATGTCAATAGCCGTAATTCCTTACTTCAACTTAGGTTCTGAGGGCCTAGGAATAATATTTATGATACAATGATGTTATGAAGATGCGTGTTGAAAGTATTCATGCTAGACCTTCTGGTACGACTTTTTGCTCTTATTTAAACTTCTCTAAACTTCCTTGTGCCTTCTCTTTTCCTGCAAAACTTCGTGAAACTTATCTATATATTTTTCTAGTCGTAGCTAATGTTTAGGACTTGTAAGCTTAGCACTTGTGTTAACCGCGGCGGTGCTGGGTTCTATTTTGAACCTTGTCAAAGTTAGCTATCAAAGTAGAAAGTTGTTAAGACTGAAATAAAACCTTTTTTACTTTTTAGTTACTGTATAAATGTGACTTTATAAAGTAAGCAATGTAATTATTTACTTTTACGTTTATTTGACTTATCATCTTAAAATCACCAACTCTTTATTTATATTAAACTCATGTATTTTATGTATTTTGATTAAGAAACATAAACAGAGAAGGCAGAGTTTGAACACATTGTCAATCGCGATAAAGCCGTAAATGAATGTAATTCAATGCAGTCTAAACAAAATGTATCGTTCTTTACACTCACCTTTCCGCTCTAACGACCGCTCATTGTCGACAAAGAGGTGCCCACCGGGCCGACACGGGCGCAGCACTATGCATCACGTCACTTCCTATCCCATTCCATTCATAAAACACAAAACATCCGTATAAAATGTCATTCGATATTCAAAAATTGACACCTCGAAATTCGTGTCACTGGCAACACTGAAGCACTTTTATAACTGGTTTTGAATACCGTTCCGAATTTCTTTTTGTAGTTTGCTTATTTTTTAAAAAAAGTATTTTTTATCGAAACGTGTGTGTCAGTCGGCGCGCGCGCACGTTTGAGCGCGAAGCCTCCGTATTCGCCCCCGCAATTTTTGACGCGTGGGCGCCGAAACCTACGCGGGCGGGCTCTAGCGAATTTGCGTAATAAATTAAAGCAATAAAACACACCAAACCGTCCGTATTAAATACAAATACGTTTTATCCGATGCGCTCACAGTCGGGTAAAGACGACCGCCGACAGCAGGGGACCGCATGAAAATGGCGAACTCTCTTTATAAGCTCATGTTAGTATTTTAAATGAGTATCGAATAATGCATCGGACATAAAAAGCCATCGTCGGCAGCTAACAATATTATGTGTGCTGTTGCGTTGGGAAGCGACCCGTCGCCGAGGACCTTGTATGGTGAAACGGGTTCGTCTGCAGTCCCACACGTTTCGACTTTTTGTCGTGCGTTGCAGGAAAGAGCTGGGAATCGTAGTCCACCGTAACATGATCTCCCTCGCTCCCTCGGCGTACGGAAGTATCTTAAATAAATTGAGCAACGGAAAGACTAGTCGGTGTCTCGTTTAACTGGTCACTTTACGCCAAGGAAGGAGCATTGTACAGGTCGTGTGCTTGCAAGCCACGTCCCTGTGCTGGCTTCATACATTCGTAATGAAATCGTCGCCCGCACTCTCGAGTCCTAATTAGACGTTCTATTTCGCCACTACTCGTCGCCGAAGGGTGCCTTTAGTACAGAAAATCGCTCGGGATTTGAGAAGCGGATTCTGTTTCTGTCACAGAACTCTACGGAGATGAATACTATTTGCTGACATTGGCTTTATTCGGTCCTTTAATTAAATTATTTTCTAAAATGATGTCATTGGACTTAATTATTTTTTAAATAGCGCCTGCAAAATTTTGATAGCAATAAAAGTGCATTGTGTGATTACAATATAAAATCCGTTTAGGTTTTGTAGAATATCAATGAATTTTATATTAAACGATAAGTCTCTTGTCGATATATATTTAGTTGCCATTACAGACACATTTTGGATTTAAATCCTAAGTATCTTAAATGCGCCCATTGTCTTAATTGTCATATAAATTGTATTATTGCTATCATTTCATACTAGGAGTGTTTTAAAGTATTTTAATTTTTATACATGTTCAGTAACGTTTGTTATGCTTATCTTATATGAAAACTAAAATAAATTAATAACTTAATAATCACGAAAATAATAAGCTAAAACAAAATGGAAGCGTATGTAATATGCATGGAGAACTTATCAAAATGGCCGGTATAAACGGATAACTAATTCAATCATCGAAAACAAAACGTGATCCAACAAGGTCCCCAGGCGGTTGAATGCTTTCTGGACATAAAGTTTTTTATTCTTGCACTCAATTGATTTTGTAATCTTACTAATATTATAAATTCAAAGGTTTGGATGGACGGAAATTTGAAGATATCTCCGGAATGGCTGCATGAAATTTGGCATAAATTTATAACATAGCCTGAAAGAACACTAAGGCTACTAATTATTTTTTTTAATTCCGCCTGGACAGAGTTGCGGGCGGCGACCGCTTGTAAAAATATAAAATTGACTTCAGTATAGATTGATTGCGAAATAGATTTTTATCCAAAACAAACATAAAAGCTTTTTATTATAATTCCAAGAAATTATTTAATTTCTACATAAAAAATAAATGTAACTATTTTTTATATATAAAACTATGTTTGATATGAAATTCGAACAACGTATCCCAAATACAATATAATTTAGTACAAATTTACACTCATAGTATTTGCTGGAAAAAGATCCTTGCTTAAGAGATAAGTAAAGTGGTCACCCTAACCAATAATCGAGTGTCATCGTAATATTTGACTGTGATATTTCTGAGTCACATTGTGCTAACTGGGCATAAATACCATTAGGCCGTCTGTATACTTAATTCAACCAATTTAGCTTAATCTAACCTTAAATATAAATTGGTGTGAAACTTGTGACTCTCGGGCTGATAAGTATTTAGCTATAATTATTTATTTTATAATTACATACCGTTTATAAAATTACCCGGAACAAACGTGGACTTACAGATAGACAGACAAATACATCATGTTGACGAAATATCATTTTTTCCTATATTACAGACATTTCAAGTCGGGTTGATGACAAGCAGGCGGCGAGTGTAAAAATTAAGGCAAAACAGGTTTATAACACCTTGTGCGCCGACCTTACATGAGTGAGATAAGGTCAGGGAGTTGATGGTGATGATGTGTCATGGTGATAACCCTTAGAAGTATGCAAATATTACGGAATCCGTGCGATCCTAGCACACCTCTTTACACCAGTTGCTACGTCCTAATAGCTTGGGTTTTCACTGCCACAAACTCATAAAAATAATTGTCATCCATCATACTCCTTGAAAAAACTACTAACTAATTGCTTACAAATGTCATAACAAATTAAGAAGAGACTTTGAAAAGTAATTTTTGTACAGCAGTGGAAAGCCACTGTTATGGCCTTTCTATCAAATATCATATAATACATTCAACAGTTAAATGTTTCTTTTTTACTAAGTTTTGATACAAAAAACTAGATTAGAAAGATAGCTTTTTAATTGAAAAATTGTAAAAGAATTCGTTATAATTTGATTTTAAAATTCTTTTTTTTTATTTTGCATAATCTTCTACTTTAGGTAAGGAATTTTTACATTTGAAGACGCAATCATTATTGTTCCGTCCGAAAGCTTTTTATTGCTTCGTATTCCTTAACAGTGAATACGAATGATACGCCATAAATGGATGTTATTTATAATATACGTATAAAGAACTTAATATATAGCGGCGTGTTTTGTTGTCTAAATCAATCCATTTCCATTTTGGGAACCGAATATATTAGATAGCTTTTGCCCGCCACTTCGTTTGTGCAGAATTAAAAAAAGGGTTAAATAGTCATGGGTTAGTGTAAACTTTATTATATCTGTGCCACATTTCTATGTGTATAACCGTTACGGAGTTATCGAGTAAATATGTGAATGAAACGTATCCCACGGGAACCGTACATGTTTCCGGGATCATAGGTAGCCTATTGTGTTCTCCTAGACTGTGTTTTACTTTCACACCTTCTTCATTCATCTATCCATACATCCCAACATTCGCATTTATAATTTTGTGCCTTTGTTTTTTAATTGATTTTACCTATTTGGTCTTCGTAATGGCGTTATTCAAATAAATCTAGATTATATCTATGAATTTATTCATCCTTATGTCAATCTTATTAGAACTTGTACTCACAACTGTAGTGTATCTACAAACAAAACTAAATTAACTCTGTCAGACTGTGTGTAGCTGCCCTTATTGATTTGCGTTCCATCGGAAGGCCAATTAAAGTGTCAAACTACGTTATACTTTCCATCTCACAGACTAAAATAAACCTTATAGCTAAGCATTTACAGTTGTAGTTGTTTGCACATTAAAAGTTTGTTGAATGGCATATCTGTTCCCGTATTCTCGAGCCAATCAGATGATTATTGACTTGCGCTGTTGTCTCGTTGTTGGACGTATCAGTGAAAATCGGAGCCGTATTTTTTGACTTCGCTTTGAAATAAAATAAACTTTTACTTGATTGTCAAAGGCTATTTCTATACGGGGCATCGAAATCCTCTGACTCATAAGGATCTACAGTCTCTAAGAGCCAACCTTAGTGTAGATTCAGAATTAAATCTACACTCTGAGTGGCAATATCTCTTTATGTAGTCAAACAAATAACTCAAGTGAGAGAGGCGCTTTCCGTGAGTGAGTTTCCGATACCAAAATCCTGGTTTAAAATATATTGTTATCTTCGATTTTGTCAAAGATAATGACAGGAATGACAACAAACTATAAACAGTGTATTTCAAAAACTCACGGTTAGACATTGAAAATCACAAGGATCTTGTGACAAATTTTTGACACTGAGAGAAGGGCGCTAGTGAGCTATCATAATTTAGTTTAAGATATATCCACCGCATCAAATAACTTTATCACTCTAAACATCATATAAACATCGCTATTCGCTATCCTAAATAACGATTAAAAATATCAAAAAAATAAATAAAGAATACTCCAAACTGCAAGTATGTTTTAAAATATGAAACACGTCTAAAGGTATGTCTACATAATTCAATTTTTCAACACAAAATATTGATTTAATATCTTGTATTAACACATTATGAATTTAACATGAGATAATTTTCGCGTTAGCTGCGTACAGCATACAAAATAAAACAGATCGTACAAAAACTGACGAAAATTATCATGAGTTAACAAGTCATAAAACTCTAGGGATCCAGGATAAATCACTACTACTAAACCTTAAATTTTAAGAGTCAACATTAAAGAAATTGTATAAAGCTGGTTTTGTAAAGATAATGTAAAAGAATAAAAATATGTTTTTTGTGATAAAAATTAAGCCAGCCAGTATGTTTTTTTTTTATTTTAAACCTGAATTTTCCAATTATAAGCAGCAGGGCTGTTCGACTTCAAATAAGGCGAATCAAAAAATTCAAGGTCGCAAAATCTTTTTAATTGTTCTGCTTGACAATTGACAGCCCTATATGATTTTTCGAGGCACTTTGGAATATCTTCACGTACAAATACCTCGCCTTATCTATACGCGTCACTCCATATAGCCGAAACAACAATTGCATCTCAGTCAAGAGATTTTTTACACAGCCCGAGTTCGGTGCAAGTTTTTGTGGTCGCAATTTCCTCGATAACTGGAACTAAAAATTCAACATGGATCCACTAATTTACTTCGACTTTCATTGTACACGGACGTTTTGAAGGGAATTTAGATCGAAAATATTTACTATTAAAATTTAATTTTTTTTCAGTCTACAAATTAAATTATTCGGAATGGTTGTTAATTATTTTCACATCAGAGGTTGCTATAAAATAAACATAACAATAGAATGTGGACGTAACGACGAGTATGGGGATCTGAGTCTCCTAACAAGGAGACTCAGATCCCCATACTCGTTGCTAACAAGCAACATGCAGATTTTCTGGGTAGCTATCAACTAAAAATTGACATTTAAAATACCGATGTATAATATCACTTTCAATATATACCGGTAGAAAACAACTGCAATATTCAAAAATACTGTCGAAAACCGAAAATACCCAATTTTTCTGTGGATGCGAGAATCGGTTACGGTTTTTTACCCGCGAATTTTAAAACCGTTTACAAAACCGTGAATAAGGAGAGTTTAACTAATTCTAGTGATTAAAAAACCATAGTAAAATTATCGTTATATTTTGAAAGTTATTGGTAAACAACAAGCCAGAGTTCCAGGAAAATTATCAGTTAAATATTTCGACGAACTTTAAAGTAATCAAAAGCGAACGGAAGCTCTAATCAACTTGTAATAACAACTATTATTTTCTACACAACTATTAATTTGAGACATAACCAAAAACTATCATTACTAATGATTGTCTACTGTTTGAAATTGGAACAAATAGACAAAGATGATTTTATCGTTTTTGATTAATGGATTTTTGCAAAGAAAAAAAATAAAAACAAACAAAATAGATAGAAATATATTAGTTTTATATTATTTAGTATGAATTAAACTTTAATAATATATACTTAATTTTAATTTATTTGAATCTGTTAAGATTATGCGATAAAGAGTCGGCCATAAGGTCTTGTTATGGTGATAAATCAATGCATTACTCAAGGTATTAAGTCTACTTGTGTCTACTATAAGAGTGGTAGAACCCGCTTTAACATCTTCGCACGAATTGGCCAGGTTCGCCCGGTGAAATACCACCACCACACAGAAAACAGGCGTGAAGTGGAAGAAATTCCGTGTTTCGTCTGATAAGTGTGGTCCCGGAGGCCCAACCCCCCTCCGCGCGCTTACGCCTGAACTCCCGCTTGGTCTCCGGCGGACACATCGTACTTATCCTGCCCCGGATACAAACTGGAACACTCCTTTTTGCCCCGGGCTGGGGTATGCGTGTACGTCAGAGAGGATGTCTGCTCTCGTCGCCT